TCTTCTGATAAACTTTGAATCTTGAAACACTTCTCCTCTGTTGTCATCACAAGGGGGAACGGTCTTATTCAGCAGCCTTTTATGGGAAAGCAGTGTCGGGTGTTTTTTCCTTCTCTATATTAGGAGTCCCCCCACCCCTTCCCCTACACAGAGTTGCAATGACCAATCTCAGACAATCTGAAGGAGAACCAAGGCATGGGATGGATTCCTTGGAAGAGTACAGTGGGAAAAGGAAAAGTCTATGTCTCTCCCTTTGTTCAACTCAGCTTCTATAATAACTGGAGAAGAATATTGGGCATGGTTGAATTTAGGACTGGAAAGTATAAGGCTAGCCAGTGACTTCTATGGCAGAAATATACTTTTTCCTGATCTCTATCAAGTGGTCTGACCAAGTCTGATTCTCTGTCAGAACACCCTGTGTGGCAAGGTCCCTGCATGTTACAGGACAACCTGTCCCAATCCCAGGGGCATTCTTATCACTGCAGATTCACAGCAGAGAGACCAAAAGCAAGCTCTTGAAGGAGGACAGCTTATACACGAGCCCCGGACTCATCTATTGGGCCTGGGGATCCATTCTCCACTGTGGTCCACCCTGATGTATTCTCAGTGAGGGAGGACCGCAAGAACTGTCTATGACTTGTTTGCATGTGTTCTCTGCCCTCCATCTTCCAGCTGGCTTTGGTCAATAGGGAGCCTTGGAGGGAAGAAGGTCTGGAGGCAATTGAGGTCAAAGTATTTTTCTCAGAACCCCTGCCACTGGGCAGCTATGGCCGTAGAAGTCTCACGTCCTGTCAGGTGAACCTCTCCATGCAGACTACTCTCTGGATCCTGGTAACCTCCTTTTAAAATGGTTCTTTCATTAAACTCACCATAGTACACTGACTTTGAATATTCTATCTTTTCCTAGCTGGGAACCTGACTGAAACAATCATTATCTGTGTAATTTTGAGCAAATTTGTTAATCTCTCTCGGCTTCAGTTTGCTCTGAGACTTGAGGGTAATAATATCTTCTTTAGAATAGAACAAGGTTATGCATTAAGTTCTATTATACACATAGTAAGCACTCCATGAATGTTTCAGTAGTAATATTATGACTACCATGAACAACTCCAGAAAGGCATTCTTAGAGCTCAGGTTAGGTTTGAAGTCAAGAGACAATAAAATGAAAGGGAAAAAAATTCCTTATGGTCAAAATTCCTTTTTAAAACCCTGGACCAGAGCGCTATATGCTGATTTTTTGGCACACAATCCTGTGAGGAGTTCTTATCCACACTGACCTTTTGAGAGCCCACCAGCTAGAGTTAGAAGGTGTCTGTGTGCAGACGTCCCGTATCCCACCTCTTCAGTTTGCCGTAAGTCTGGAGTCCCTAGAAGAGACTCAGAGATGCTAGAACACTCAAATATACTCCTTGTGCCCCGGAAGGGTGGTCTGTTCTATTCTCATACCCAGGCTCCTTCTGCTTAACACTAACTGGGAGACTTGGAGTTGGTTGTGAGGTCTAAAAGGAGAGAGTGGGGTCATGCTTCAGCTAGGGGCTAGGCTGCCAAGTGGGCCCTGTGGTGAATTAAATTGCTACAAGCAGCTGTGCTCAGGTGCCCAGGATGACTCTTTACTGAGCACTTACTGGGTGCCAGGATGATAGCTCAGCACTTCCTACTGTTTGTTGTTTGTTTTGCTTTGTTTTTTGTTTTTTGGTGGAACTAAGGATTGAATCCAGGGCCTTCAAACTGAGCTACATACCCAGCCCTTTAAAACAAATTTTTTTCTAAATTTTAAGACAAGATCTTGCTAAATCACTAAATTGGCCAGGCTGCGTCAAAACTGGCTATCTCCTGCCTCAGCCTTCCAGAGTGCTAAGATGATAAGTATGCACCACATCTGGCTACTTCCCACGTATCGTTCTCATTTCAATCCTGAGGTGGCCATTATTATCTTTTTCATTTTTGAAATGAGGAAGCCGAGAATCTATAGTTTGTGGACTAATGTGACAGAGTCCACTACACCACAGGGGTAATATTTAAAGCAGTTCTACTGATCCAGACCTGAGCCTTACCCCCGTAGTGTGATGCTGTATTGTGGCTTTCCCACCAAGCTGCAGGTGTACACATCAGAAGTACAAAGATCTATGTTTTTATAACTTCAAGCATTTGTTGTCTAGAATGACAGACAAGAATTGGCCTAGGAAGATTTTAATTCCCCTAATTTGAAGACAAGAAGGTCAATCTTGTATCCTATTTTATCGATTTGCTCCAATTCTTTCCCAGGGCCCTATTTCTGGATCCTTCTCTAGTTTATTAATCCCCTCTTGTCAGTGGTTCCTGACTCTAGCTGTGCAGTAGAATCAATCACTTAGGTAACTCAGAGTCCTCTGGACTGATGGAACAGAAACCTTTAGAAGTTGATCTGAGCATAGCATTTCCTTTTTCTAAAAAGCCCTCTCTGAATATTTGAATGGGCAGCCAGAGTCGGAAATCACTGCTCCAGTTTGTTTTAAAAATGAATTGTTGTGAATGTTGGCAGGGACCCTCTGGGGCCAAGAAAGAGAAGCAATTTGTTCTTAGCCAGGATTAGATGCGACACAGTCCACATGATTTAATAGACCTGGTCTCCCAGGGCAGTGGAATGCAAATGTTTCTCCATTGTCAGAGGTGATATCTGAGCACCCAAGTAGTCATTTATAGAGAAGGTGGCCAGCTGGAATGATGACGCCTCTCTAATCCAGCATACTTGATGCACCTGAATTTTGTCCCATCTTGAACATGAAAAACATAATTAAGAGTGGTTTTCCATGGGATGTTTAAAAATTGAAAATAACTCCATCCCCTTCCTCTTCTCTATCCTTTTTTTAGCTTGTGTCTATGCACCTTAGGATGCCGTGCTGTGACCAGTGGGTGCTAATAAATTGGGCAATTCATCCCTCCATGGCTGTGTGCAGATATGGGGGGGGCGGTATAGCAGTTCAATGGCTTGGTTCACTCAGGCTTAATTTTTTTTTTTTTTTTTGATACCAGGGATCAAACTTCGGACCTTGTGCTTGTGAGGCAGGCGGCAGCACCACTGAGCTAAATCGCCGGCCATTCAGGCTTAATTTAAAGGGGGTTCTTAATAGCTTAATAGTCCTGGGAGAAGATCTCAGTTTTGTTCTGTATCTGCCCCCTCTGCTGAAAGCAAAGACTAACCACTGAATGGTGACAAGAGAATGATAATTTATGCAGCTGACAACTTCACAGAGCCACACATCTATGGGGCTTAGGAGATGTTAACATCAAGGTGCAAGAAGACAGTTTTTCATTTACAGATTATTTTTTAAAAACATAACAGATTCAATAATAACTAAATTTTTTGTGGGGGGGGGGAGTACCCAAAGATAACCACACAGGTGAAGAGGTGGTTAATCTTTTTTTTTTTTTTTTAAAGAAAATACAAAATTAGAGGGATTCTTGAAAGTTCCTAGGCTGAAAATGATGCAGATCTGGTCAATGGAATGAGACAGACAGGAAAGAGGAGAAGGGAAGAGACAGAGAGGAAGATGTTTGGACTCAGGTTTTGAGGAGTGAGCAGAGATTTATTTTTAATTTCGGTTAAGCTCTCCTCCCTTTCCTTCTTTTTCTTATCTCAGCTGCCTAGACATCCTTCATTTTGCCCAAGAAACTATCCTCCAGAACCCTTAGAACTGAACAATTAGTGAAGCTTACTGGATGCTGGGCTCTATCTAGGTTAAGAGCTTTGCCTGTCGCCTGCATTTCGTTAACTTAGGGCAAATGATGTTCTCATTTTGCAGGTGGGAAAAAGTGAGTTTGAGAAATTTGCCCCAGATTACTCCGCTGGAAGGTGGTGAAGAATTCAAAGCCAGGACACCACGCCTGGCATTTAACCATCTGACGGTCTTGCAGCGCCCTAGCTCCTGGGGAGCCATCCCGGGGACTTTCTGCCAGTTTCCACCTGGCTGCCACATCCCACCTTGTAAGGCTCGCCCCAGCGTGGGAGGAAAGTGCGCCTCCCACCGGGAGGAAGACGGCTGGGACCTCTGTCTGGGGCGCCACCAGATGGGTGGAGTTTTGAGGGTCTCGCCGGGAGGAGCCTAGCAGGTCCCAGGCGGCAGGTTCACACTGCTGACCAGTCCAAGGCGCGTTTACGCCTCGCAAATCTTCTCACAAACGCCCGTTTAATTTTCACCGCGGTCCTGCAAAACGGGTGATTTTGCTTCCCATTGTTCAGCGGAGGAAAATGAGGCTTTGCCTTCTCGGTGGTCACAGGGTCCGCAGGTGGTGGAACTGTAGACGTCTGCCGCTTCCCCGTCCCAGAAATAATAAAAGCTGCCCTCAACTCATTACTATGCAAAGCTGGCCAAGAGGCTCGGACCCTCCCTTGCACCGGCCCACTGGTCTCCGCGAGCCGCCCCCAGGGCTCAGAACCCTGCGGCGAGCCGAGCTCTGGGTGCGGGCGCATCTCCAGCCCCTTGCGTCCGCCACCTCTGGGCGCCTTCCCGGCCTGCGCCCCCCGGACCACCTAAAACAAAAATATTTAAATAAAATAAAAGGCCTCCTTTGCTCCCCGCCCGCCCCCAGGGAGCTGCATTAATATTAATCTTGATGAATAATTGAGAGCGAGAGATTTATGTAGGCTTCCGCGGCCGCTGCTCAGGCTCTGCGGGGCTGGTTACAGCCGACGCGGGAGATGAGGGTGGGTGTGCCCGCCTGTGCGGGCGAGTGTGAACCAGAGCAGATGTGCCAGGGAGTGAGGAGGAGGAGGCTGCAGGAAATGGGGACGGAGGGGCATCCCAGGTCTCCGCGCTGTCGCCTGCGCCTAGCGAGGTGGCCCGGGACCACGTGGGCTTGAGGGGAAACAATAGCGACTCCTTAGATTCTCCGCTCCTGCCACCGGCTGCCCAAGCTTTCCCGACGACCGGCTGGGTCTCTTTTCTTAGTTGGCTAATTCCTGGCGAGATGCCGGGTAGGGGGGAGGGACGGCAGAGGAGGGACCGCGTCTCGAGAGGAGAGGCGGGGGAGGCGGTTAAAGGAGTCGCCCGAGGCTACGGCGCGGGTGATGTCAGCTCTCGACGAAAATAGAGAGGGATCGCCTGCAAATCCCCAGCTCCGGCGGGGCTAAACCTTGCAATCCCTCCCGGCCGGCGCCGAGCCAGAGCGCAGGGGCCTCCGCCGCCTCCCCCGGCGCGCACAGCCCCGGACACGCGCGCACGCTCGCCACACTCCCCCGCTCTCACGCCGCCGGCCCCGCAGCAAAGCACAGGTGGCGGCGGCGGGGGCGCGCCGTTGGCTCGCTCTCTCTTACAGCCCCAGAGACAGTGCTGACCGCGGGCAGCCAGCCTCGGTTTCCCCCAAGCGTCTCTCCGAGCGCCACGGCGACGCGCGGAGGGGAACGCCGGGCGCGCGCCGTGGAGAGCTGGGACGTGGATTAGCGCCCACAGGAGCCTGCAGCGCCCGTTGAGGCGCTAAAGGGCTTACCCAGGAGGGGGGAGGAAGGGCGGGGAGAGAGTACCCCTTAAATACCGCTCCCCGCCGCGCTCTCAGCTCACCCGGCACCCGCTCGCTCCCTCGCCCGCCGCTTCCGGACTGTGCCGAAGAGGAGGGGGCGTTCCCCAGACCATGGCATCCACTGAAGGGTGAGGGGGCTTTTCTGGGAGCCGCGCGGGGGTGGCGGTCCCCCATCCGGGTTGGGGACCGAGAGGTGTAGCGCTGGGCCTCGGGGATGGTGGAAGAGCGAAGACGGCTGAGAGAGAGAGAGAGAGAGAGAGAGAGAGAGAGAGAGAGAGAGAGAGAGAGAGAAAGGGGTTGTTTTAATTGCACGGGTAAGGTACTGTGGAGGTGTGAAAAGTGTGAAGAAAAAAAATCCTCTTGAGATTACTTTTGTGATTTAAAAACAATACGGATTGGCCAGGGTGTGGTGGGGGAGTGCAGTGGGCGAGCGCGACCCCGGCTGGGAATGGGGGACCCGCCGGAATGAATGAGCTAGACCAGGGCCGGGGCGGGGCGAGGATCAGCGCGCGCTGGCCTTGAACGCCACGTTTGCAGTAGCGGCGCGGCTCTGAGAGCCCTCGGTTCCCTCCTTGACCCTGGGTGGCGGACTGGCCAGCTCCAAGGCGGAGTGAAAAAAGATTTGGGTGCTTCCCGGGAGGAGGCGGGAAAACTTGTAGTTTTGGGCAGGATAGGAGTCTTCAGACTCTTGTTGGCTTCTCTGTTTTCTCCAAGGCCCTGGAGTAGCCTCTTGCCTCCTGAGCCTACAGTTAGCATGGAGAAAGCACTTACTGATAAAGACCGCTGTTGTCGGAAAGAGGGAGTTGGGGCTGCGAGAGGCAAAAAGATCCCGTGAACACTCGCGTGTCTAAGGAAGGGTCGGTCTCTGGACCTGTGTCTCCCAGAAAACATTTCAGGCTTGGTAGAGTTTGAGCGGGAATAACATGACTGGTGGGAGAACTCGGTCCAAGGATGAATGCAGAAGATGGCAATGAGCCACTTGTATGTTGCCTGAAAAGTAAATATCAGGGTCGCCTCTGGGCTCAACTGGAGAAGTCTTTGGCCCTGGCTCTTTCCAGAGTTTCTGTCCTATGTTTTATCAACTCCACAGGCTAGTTTGAGGGGAATGGCTCTCTCAGCAGGAGTGAAGACCTGGTGTCCAAAGCGCCCGGTATCCTGACTCCAACTTGAAACAAAGGAAAACAGTTTTAAAGCTGTCTGTGTCCAAGGGAAGGAACTGATCCTTTCTCAGTCCCCTGGAGTCCTTCCAGAGAGGTCATAATATGAAATTTCCTCTTTTTGCTCTAACAGGCTTAGCAATGTGGACTTTTAAAATAACTGTTTCTCAAAAATATTTTCAAGAAAGACACCTACCAAAAAGGAGGGAGGTGGTATCTTGTGCAAAAACAAAAACCAAAAACACCCAGATCGCTAAATTAAATATAAAGAATCCATATAGGGTAATATAGGTGCCTCTCCGTGTTTTTCTTGAAAGGCTTTCATATTAGAAAAGATATAAAGGCTTTTCTGGCTACCTTTAAGGCCTTTCTAAACTTACCTTTGCTTGTAAAGACTAGGTTGGAAAACATCCGTGAAAAAGATGAATGATGGTCCTCTGTCAAATCCTGCATCCAACTCATTCCCAAATTTGCTGGCCAGATAAAGAAGGAAGAAGTGAAGACACCAGAACTTTCCAAACTGAGTGTGTTTATCTCACCTTTGTCCTCAATGACAACTGCTGAATTACTGGACATTAAATACAGAGCAGAAGTAAATTTTAGTATCTAAGAAAGACTCACATACAATAAGTCATCTTTATTGTGCATTGTTAAGAAAAGATTGAACAAAGAAACGTGCATTTAAAGAGGTTAAAAAAAAAAAACCCAAAACCTGGAAGGCTAGGGAACACATATAGAAAGATCTGTGATCCATTATTTAAGAGCAGTAAGAGCAGAAAGATCTGCGATCCATTATTTAAGATCAGCCAAAGATATTCTCAAAGCCCTTTTTTCCAGGAGCATTTAGTGAATCCTTGTTGGGTAGAACATCCATGCTAGGCTTTGGGGCATGGGGCACATGAACACGTAACAGTCTGGGAGCTGACTTTCAGAAGCTCCAGTTGAGAACTTTTATTACTAAATTTTTCTTTTAGGCTGGTATTTCTTGGTTAATACCACTTGTAAAGGAAAATTCACCAAGATTTCCCAGGATGGTCTCCTTTGCTAGCCTTTGCCCTCCAGCAATATTAAAGCTGTTTTTTTTTTTTCAAACATCCATTATGGAGAAGTATGCCAAAATAGCCATGTGATTATAGCTTTCAATTTATGTATTTTTAATTCAACTCTGACCTAAGAATTTACCGTGGAGTACTTTGGTAAACTGACCATTTTGGTTTATGTCATGATGTAGATGCCATCAACAAAATACACTGATTACCAATTTTTAAAGAACTGTTAAACGCAACAGTGATATCTTATGCTTATTTAGCACTTCAATTTGAAAACATTCATGTGCATTACAACATTTGAGTTTTTTAATAATTCTATGAAGGAGACAGTCCAATGAAAATAGACTTTAGGAATAAAACTATATAGAATATAATATCTTCTCAGGAGGATCCAGGACTTGGCAGAGCTGTGGGGTTTTCTCTGGAAACATCAGGTATCACTGAAGAGTAAGCTGGGCTAGTTGGTACAGAAGATAACTGGCTTTGTCTCAAATACTTGGTGTATAAACCTACAAGTTGCCTTTTAGAATATTTTCTTTATAATGTATGTACTTGCTTGTTGGGAGCAATGCAACATAATTTTAGGGTAAAATCATTTGGTTAGCCTAGTTCTCCTGCCTACAACCCAGCTATGGAATTCCGAGACATAATTGCATTTTGGCCTCCGGTCACAACTGAGACCTCAATGATCGGTGATGCTGGGATTCTCCAGGACAAGAAACATCCTGGGAGCTGAAAACATCCTGGGAGGAACAAACATCTACCCAGTTCCTCCTTGTTCTTGGATTATTACATCTTACTTACGCAGGATGTACTGAACTGTCTGCAAGTCACTTGTTACACTTTGTTTCTCCCGATGTACTGAATAAAAGGTGTGGTAAGCTGGGGGCTTTTGTGTTTGCTGCCCAGAGCAGCACTGATCAGACCCAAAGCTCAGCTTCTTCTCAGTCTCATTTTTCTACCTTTCCTGTAATTTGCCGTGTGCTGCCGTGGCTCGCAGGAGACCAGGACTCACTGCAGAGGTTCTAGTAACGTCCGCTTCCCCTGTTCCCTACACTTGATCTTTGCCTTTTGTACACCATACTCACCATTGTCTGGTTACTTCAAGTTTCTGATTATTTGGAATTGAGATTATGAGTATCTGGTTTCTGTAAAAATCAACAGTGTCTCTTTAGTAGTTCCCAGATGTCAAGAAGCATTTTCTTGTAAAGCAAGGTTTAATTTGATGGTTGAACATTCTTTTTTTTTTTGTACCTGGGATCAAACTCAGGACCTTGCGCTTGTGAGGCAGGTGCGGTGCCACTGAGCTAAACACCCAGCTGAACATTACTTTTTCTGTGTCTTTTGTTGTAGATAGAATTAGAGATAGTTTTTAGGTCCTTGACCCAAAATGAAAAGAGATTGTAAGTAGTGGCTGGTAGATAGACTAGTGTCTGTTTTTGAGTGGTCACAGTGGAGTGTCCAGATGCTGGAGAAGCAAGCATTATACATTTTCAGGGCGAGGGACAGCTAGGTCACTACAGTATTTCAGAAATTCAAGGTGATTTGTTTTCTGATTAGCTCCCAGGAACCAAGGTGCCAGGGTAAAAGCCAATCACGAGGGCTTGGGTTTCAGTTTGACTTAGAAAGAATGTGATGTAGAAAACTGTGGGCAGCTAAAGACTCTGGAGAAGGAGACCCCTGAATTTATTATTTCAAGCAAAGGAAAGCAAAAGATAACATTGGCCTCCTCCTTCCCCCGGGGGATGAAGTTGGGGTCAGCTGGAAGAGGACCCCGTGGAGTGGATTTACTGAGGGGTGAGTGGAGGGCCAGGGGTTTGGGCTCTAGAGGGATTTGCATAGTGTGTGCCTCAGGCTTTGCCGGAATTTTGTTTCTTGTTTTCTAGAATATAGAAATTGCCCCCCTTGGGTAAAAATGGATATTAGGGGCGTTATGAGAAAGCCATTTCATGTTTACTAAGACAGTCTCCTGTGTGCAATTGAAAGCTTAATTCTCAAGAAATAATTTCTAAATCCAAATGAAATTCGTAAGGTGGAAGCATGAGGTTATTAGAAATCAAAAACAGGTCTGTGCAGTAGTATCAGTGATGATTTCTTTTCCCCTTTATGTGACATAATTAGGTGTCCTCTCCTTGGGCTTTGTCTTTAAGGGATGTGTCAAATAAGGAAGTCCTTAAAACATGATGCTTCGGCTCCAAAAGCAAGAAATATCTAGCAGCTAAGTGCGAGCTTTCTGGATCAGTGTGCCGTAAACCCTACGCTTCCAGAATTGCAAAGCTTTTTCACACTGGGAAGCTCAACACAGGTTGATTTCAAAGAAAAGCTCTCCACCTTCCCCCATGGCTGTATCACACAATGCCCACGTGTCTGGTTTTCCGCCTTCTAAAGGTAAACTAAACTGTTTTCTATATTGAATATTTCCCTCATTGGACTGTTTGCCTCTCAGAACGAACTGAATCTTCTTCACTTCATTTTGATCACCTGCGATAACTATTTTACTCTAATAAAACCTTAGCAGTAGAAGGCAGAAGTGCCATTTTCAAGATAAAATTTTAGTTTTGTTTTCATTTTAAGAACTTGTCCTCACAGTCTGAAAAAAAAAAAAATCTACCAAATGCCTGCCATTGCCATGCTTATAGCTCTCACTTGCATGCCCCTAACAGCTTGCTGGGGGCAGTCAGGATGCTTCATAGAAAGGGCTTTGGAATCCAGATTATGGCAAATCTCTTTTATTTACCAGGATTGTGAGCTTGCTCTCTCCACCCTCTGTCCATCCCTCACTCCATAATGTTCCAAGTGCCAAGTCCTTGGAATGAATTAATTAAGGGAGTGCTTAAAAATATCTCATTGCTCTATTTCCACATGCTCATCATTGACTGGAGGCAGATGGGCTGCATATTTGTTGGTGGAATAGAAAAGGAC